ATTATCAGAATGAGTCAGTTAGACAAACAACCTGCACCTTGGGAAGGTAACCTTGAGCTGTTCTTTGAGCCACCTAGGCCAGATGGATGGAGCAAAATTGTGCTTTAGCGGTATAGCTTATTCCTGCCACCAAGTGAAACAAGTGATACCAGCAAAAGCAGAGGTTTTTTTGGCCAACATCTCCAACAAAAACATGAGCCAACAAAATTTTTGACCAACCTGTTCCCTCTACCCCAGACACAGCTGCATTTCTGTAGGGCCAGATGGACTGTGCCTACAGTTGTCTGGGATGAAAGATACTCGACCACTGTAAAACTAAATATTTCTTTTAATTAAAAATTGGTTGAGCAAGCTGCATTGGGTTGACTCCCCTCTGAAGCCAGTTGAGTATACAGAACTCTGAACAGACTGGGGGTTTGTGCCAGCCCAGCTATGTCGGTCACAAATCACACCTCTGAGTGATACAACTATGCCAATAAAAGTTTGTAACATAGACGTGGCCCTAGTCACTTATCTTTTAACGGAGAGAATGTTCTTCTTGGCCTGGGGGTGGACAGCTCCTCTCCCACACCCAGGGTAAATGTAAAAGTTACACCTATCTTGCATAATTCTTCTTGTGCTGGTCTAGTTCACCAGCTCCTGTTTACCGTTTACACATGGACAATCTCTACGTAACAAACCAAAGTTTGGCACTGAACAATGCATTCCAGGCAAGTTATTTTTGCTTCAGTAGATCAAAGTGTTTCCTTTTACTGGACCAACAAACAAAATGTCAGGCCCCCCAAGGTCCATTCTTTAGCTCTGAGGACTCTATCCTTGCTGGGTATTGAATTCTTGCCACTAAAACCAATACAGGTTTAAAAAGGCTTAGGAGCTCAGAGACCATTCAGGCACCACAGGGCAAGACCTAGCACATATTTCCCATCAAGTGCTGAGCCTTGAGTACACAAACAAACATGGGCAAAGCACATACTTGGCATAAGACACAGAACAGTATGTTCTTGCCCAGGGCACAGTACAGAAACTTACACTCATGGCCTGGCTGGGGAACAGATGAACTTGAGTTTTGAAACATCTAACAAGGATCTAATATATTTAAATAGAAAACTGATCTACAAAAGTGTCAAGTCCTCTTTATGGCTGTTTGATGGGTCTTTAATTCAGACACATATATTTCAAAGTGGCTATAAGACTGAGATGTGTTTCAGCATCAATTATAAATGTGGTGGGAAGACAGGGGGAGTTTTCATTCATTTCTCTTTCTAGCAGGAAACTTAGGTTAGGCCTAACCTTCTCTCACTGAAATCAATAGGAATTTTGCCAGGATTTTAACAGGAGCAGGATTGGTCCCTATTGTAAACATGCAACCAGTCTAAGTTAAATACACACACACGTACGTGTAAAGTAAGTGCTGAGCACAGGATTGGTGTTAGGCTTTTCTAAGGTGCCTCTTCCCATGTATGCTGGTATTACTGCATATTCCCTACAAATGAAATGTAAACCCTTAGAGCTAGTCTGGTTTCAATAAGTGATGTCAGTGAAATGAAATGCTGTGATTTAATAATAGGATCTAACTGCAAAGAGAAAGACAACAGATATTAAACCTTAAAACAAATCAGAGAGGTATATTTTAAATGCAGGAGCTTATTTTCCAGTCTTAACATCAAATTCCATCACCATTGTATTAAAGTGGGTTAATACACTTGTTTTCAAAATAAGATATAAGATGATCCATGTGTCTAGGTTCAGACCCATAGCACTGCTAAACCACTGGGGATGGCTGCCTCGACTAAGCTCTGGGTTGGAAAAAATTGCATTCCCTAGGATCACAGTTCAAAATCCTGGTGGAAATCAACTCAATGCTCTGCCCTTACACAGCAGATAAAATCAGTTCCAAAGTTTTCTGTTAATAGAAGTCTTTCAAAGGAGACTTTAAATACTGAGTTACCATTAGTCACACCCACACACACTTTTACAGAACCTAGATTTCATAATGGTAGATAGATATTGCCCCAGAATTCTTGACCAACTTCTCCCCCACATCACTGCTGGTTACTGCCCTCACCCAAACATACAGCTCCATTTCAGGGGGACCAGATGGACTGTGTCTGGTTTTTGGGGTGATCAGTGTAAAACTAAGTACTTTAGTTAAAACATTGGCTGAGGGAAGAGCTTTGTGCTGACTTCAGTCAGAACCAGATGAGTGTCGATTTCCAAATTCTTGATTAGCATCTGCCACTTAGCTCACTTGATCTCTATTATTGATTGGCCGTTTTTTCCCCCCAATCAGTAAAGTGGGTCAGGATAGGGCACTCTAATCACTTGCACTAATATTTGCCAAAAGGGTACTTACCAGAAACGTTATATTACAGTTATAGAGAGTGGAGAGTCCCATTTGCTTTCAGCTGTACTTTTGTTTTCTATTGGGTGCTATACACATTTATCTCAAAGTGCTAAACATAGGCTGTAGCCTAAAAAGAGCAGAGGTAAAGAAGGCAGGTGTTGGTGGGATCAACACTACCGCACACAGATACCCTGAAACTGGAGATTATTCAACTGAGAGGGAAAATATTAGCCAGGACCCTTGTGTTATCCTCTTGTCTCATTCTGTGCCTTCTCCCTAGGTTCAAGCAGGAGAAAGGACCTTATATCCAGAACAAGAGAGGTAAGTTAGTAGGCTGCAGGTGAGTGCTCCATTAAGTTCTGCTTCAGAACCTTTGAAGTCAATGGGAGTCTCCAATGGGTTTTGGATCAGACCCTTGTCCATGGTAGTTACATTCCTACAATCTCAGTCTTCATATACAAGGAAACACAATGCTCAGCCCAACTTTTTCTCCATGTACCACTGGAAGGGCCATAAAAGAATGAGGGGAGAGGGAAAAAACCATCCTCCAAAGCCCCAATAGTCTACAATGAGTCCTGACTCAACCCTAGGCCCCATAGGTATCAACTTGTCCTTGGTCCACTGCAAAATTGGAACCTTTGGCCAGATAGGGTTCTGGAACACTGCACATGGGTGAAAGATTTTTAACCACTACACGTCTCAAGGGTGATGGAGAGGGGAGATTGAAAATATTGCCTCAGCCCGCTGTGATCTAATTGTAGCACAGGGGCCACATATTCTACTGTCGCGGTACACGATGGGAACCTGCACTAATGCAAGGCCCCTTCCTTGCGAGGGCCTGCTAAACTACCCTTTGCTAGACTAGACTGTGGTGGGCATACTGTCCCTAGAGCCGCCGCTAGGGGTAAGCGGACTAAGCAATTGCTTAGGGCCCTGAGCAGCTCAAGGGGGCCTCCTATTTGCTTATTATAGGGGGGGTGACTTCCTTCCCACCCCAAAAGGAACAGGGCATTAAGAAATACCATTGCAACAAACAGAAATTTAATAAGGGAAAATGTATTCCCTAGGAAAGTGCTTTTATACATCAGTTTTTTAAAAATAAACCACCTCAAAGGAGTTTCTTTCAGTGCAGTTAATTGTTACAGCGGAAACAGGAAAATAGTTTTGATGGAGGGGAAAAAAAAATCAATCACATGATTTTAGAAGTGTTGTAAGTTAGTTTTGCTTAGAGGGAGAGAGAAATGGGGGGGGGGGGGGGGGAAGATGTTGGATTTTTTTTAATCGCTAGATAAGATTAACAACATTTCTTCTGCCACCTGCTGCTCACAAAAAGGAATGCCACAGGCTCCCTTTAAACGCTAGTGGGCTCAATTCTCCATCAGCCTGTACCTTGTACAATCATTTACACCAGTTTAAAATCGGAAAGATGGTGTTTTGCACCAATGCAAAAGACCAAATCTTCAGGACAAACCTAGCATTCCAGTCCTAAAAAACCTGAAAGACTTAATAATATTGAGACATTAACAAATCTAGTTTGCATTTCCTGCCTGTGCAATAAGATAAAGTACTCCAAAGCAAATGAATGTATTTCAGATATTGAAAGTCCCCCACTCCCAGAGAAGTATGAATGGCTCTGTGGAGCTACCATTTACACATTTCTGCAATGCCTATTCAATCAAACTACAGCACAGCATCATCCTGTAAATACAGCCACTTTGCTCAACAAGCTTTGGTTGAAATCCTGCTAACAGTGAACTGAAAGTTTCCTTGCACTTAAAAAAAAAATCAAGATTTATAATACTTCTGTTAGCTCAGACACTGATCTATCAAAATTTCAACTGGACACAAGCGTTGTTTTTTTCCAGCCAGTAGAAACAAAAGACTACTCAGCCATTTTATCTAGGGTTTTATTCCATGACATCAATACCTTACTTATCCTCCAATAGTACCAACAGATTCAACCTTTAAGGCAAGCTCAACTTGCGATCCCTTCTATACCATAGTCCAGCAGTGGATAAATAACGGGCATGAGTGTTGGTTTGATATAATTGTGCCTTATCTGGATGCCACCCTCTCTTCAGGAAACATGATTCCATAGGAATTGCAGCAAGGAACCCTTTGGGATGAAAAGTCAGCTCTTTTTTGGGATCCTGGCATCTGGGTCTAGGAAAGTATCAGTCAGCTTGGCCCATGAAGAAAAAACACAAATCCAAACATATTAGCTCATTAAACATGCAGAGGTCCTTTACTGTTTTGCTGTCAGGGCTTCTATTTCTAATTAATAATAGTTAGCTTCATCCTTTCACAAGCAAACAAAAGAAGTTTCCACTTAGTTATTTCCCCAGAAGAGGGAATATATATATAAAAAATTATAGCCATGCTTCAGTTTTTCCCAGAAGTCCGTTTAGACTAAGGAGAAATCATTCCAAGGACAAAATATTTGTATCCTAAAGTTGTATGTGGTGCAACTGTCCAATGAAGATCACTAATTCTATTTCCACATTTAAGGCTGCACACCAAGAAGCTGAACTGCAAATGCCAAACAGTGGAGTAGAATTGGAAGGAAGCCACTGTGAAATACATAACGCTCCCTTTTTAGGGTCCATCTTTCCCCACTGTTTCAGTTTTCATGACTGAACAAAAAATGACTTCAGTAGGTGTTTGAGACAAGTTTATTTTTTAAAATAATCCTCTCTCCTGATGTTTTTCATCCAGTATTTTGAAGGTAATTTCTTTCTCCTTTATATATAAATACACTTGGTATTTCCTGAATCCTGGAGGGAGTGGGGGGAATGGTTCGACATGTTCATTCCCCTCTGTTCTCTTTGTCAATAAGATTTCACTGAGATCAACACCATGAAGATTTAGCCAACAGCTAACAGGTACTTAGTGGTGCAAGTGTGGGGGTTTTTTTTTGTTTGGTTTTTTTTGAAGAAAAAAAGCATAGAATAGAAGATAGAGATGAAGATGATGTAAAAAATTATATATATTTATATATATGATTCATATCTATTTACAATGTGGCTGGGACAAACAAACAGCAAGACATTTGAGGAGATTATACAAGACACCAGTAGCTTTTCCCCCAACCTTCTCAGATTGCTTTGGAACCTGGACATAAGGCATGAGGAGACGGAGACTAAAGAATGAAATTACACATTTACAAAGAAGGAGTTCCCCACTCCCGCTAAACCCGGTCTCCTTTTCACTCTGGTGAAATTGACTTTTTATTGACCAGTCTCTATGAAAAGAAAAAAATGGTTCTTTACAACCTCAGAAACATGGATGTTGATTTGTACGATATGTCAGGCTTGGCTTTTTACTTCTTTTTTGAAGCAGGACTCTTAGGAATACCCTGATTAGCTAGATGCAATACCATGCTTTCCCATTTAGAATCATCAGCAGCAAAACATGGTCAACTGAAACAGACCTTTGTATGAATTACTTGGTAATTTTTAGTCCCTAAAGTAAGGCATAGTAGAGAATGTATGTAGACAAAGCTACATCAATTGTGGAGTTTCAAGTGTTACCTTTCACTTGGTTTTCTTCACCTTGATAGGGTATCCTATAGAATGAACTGATTCAACAGATTCCCTCCCCTGTCCCCAAAAACAAAAAAACAAACCCAAATCTTTAAATTCTGGACTTAAAACAGAGATTCATGTTTTCTTTTAGCACAGAAAGCTGCATGCTGAAATCTTAAAGTCATCATTCCAGTGAAACACCTTTTAACCCAATACACTATTGCATCTCTGCTAAAATATTCCTCAAGATGATAAATGCAGTCCGATCCTCTGTTCCCAGTGAAATGCTGTATTTTCTATGCCACACGAAGACCATATTTGACATGCATTATCAGTTGTGATCTTGCATTCCACAGGCTGCATCCATTGAATCAACATGGTTTTCAGGCCTGAAACAGACACAGGCAGGAAAAACAAAACAAAAAACCAAGCTACTAATGTGTTATGTCATTAATGCAAGTTTGCTTTTATGCTTTATGCTTTTCCACTCCATCCTCTCAGGTGTTTTTTGTTCTTGTTTTTTTAAAACAGGCTGGTGACCTTCTATCCTGAAATCCTATATCTTCAAAGAGAATTTCCTCTTCCCCACGCATCCTCATGTGTTTAGAAGGGTCATAATTATTGTCCCATTTTTCTGAACTACAAAAGCCATGTTTGCTTTACACTCTTCCTAATCCTTTCCAACAGACTTAAAAATATTTGTATTGGTAACAGGCTGCAGTGCAGAGTTAGTTATTCTGTAATTTCAGCTATTAGTTAAGGTGCTAGCCTAGGACTCAGAATTATGGAATCTATGAATGAATCTAAGGTCAGAAGGGCCTACTGTGATCATCTACTCTGACCTCGTACAAAACATAGGCCATAATACTTCCCCCAAATAATTCCTAGAGCAGATCCTTTAGAAAAAAACCTAATCTCTATTTAAGAAAGGTCAGTGATGGCGAATCCACCATAACCTTTGGTAAATTGTTCCAATGGTTAATTACTCTCACCGTTAAAAATTTACACCTTATTTCCAGTCTGAAACTTGGGAGATACAGGTTCAGTTCCTTGCTTGGTCTCAGTCGTCCTTCGTGACAATGAGCAAATCACTTAGTCTCTCTGTGCCTCAGTTCTCCATCTGTAAAAGGGGGATAATAGTACTGCCGTGCCTCACTGGGGTGCTAGGAGGATCAATACATTAAGGATTGTGAGGTGCTCAGATACTACGGTGATCAGGGCCATACGAGTTCCTGAGACAGAGCGATTTAGTCACAGGTACAAGTTCTGATTGAAGGTAAGCAGGTGGTTTTAAATGTTGACAATTAAGAACACTGGATTTTCAAAGAGGAAATCAAAGATTAAAAACCTGCTGATTCCAGGAAGTAGAACTTGAGAGTCTTCTGTCAAGAGGGCTTACTCTAATTTTGCCAAAGCACATTGGTTCCTGTGACTATGGAACAGTTCCCAATTTGCTCAGCCAAGCAGAATAGGAAATCTTGACATTTCTTTAAAAAAAACCAAACACACATTTTGCTGAATTACTTTCTGTATTCTCACTAATTTCTTGTCCAGGAGTTCCACTATTCATTTAGCTCAAGCATAAAACATATACCCATGGGCCACCTGTTTACTGGTTATCCTAGTCCTGGCCAATTCTCTGATTGCCTTCTGTACAGTCACCATACCTCTCAGTACCTTGGACCTAGTAGCTGAATGGCAAGAGGCCCCTAGAGTCTCAGGACTTGCATTCCAGTTGTGCAACCAAGCTGAGAGCCAACAGTGGACTGATCCTTTAGTGCAGTATTCTACTTTTATAAGCTTCCTTGCTTGTATAGTGAGGTGGCAAAGTTCAAACACTTCTGCTATAACTCCTCTGATACCTGAGGGATTTGAGCTGCATGCAAACTAAGGCAGCAAACTGACTTTGTATGGAAAGGATCCACTCAGCTGACTGATCACCAGCTGTAAAAATCTGCACACACCCAGGACTATAAACACATCTCACTTGCTTTTCCTTTTGTTTGATTACTGTAAGTATTTGAATAATTACATTAATTCCGATCATCCCAGCCCTATAATACAGTGAAGTTCAATCAGTTTGACACACACACCCCCACACAAAAAAAAAACAAACCCTCAACAACAACAACAAAAACAGAAGTGCAGGTTTACCCTGCCAGCTTGCTGGTTACAAGTGATGACTTTCTTGGTGGAAGATCTTGTGGTGTCGGGATATGGTCTCCTGTCACCAGGTTATTGTCAGGCCCGGTGCTTGGCAACTGCTTGTTCTTCATCTTTGCCTTGGCCATATTGTAGTCACCCGAGTCAAAATACTTTTGCTGAAAGAGGGACAGGATTTCAGGTTACTTCGGCAAAGTCTTAAGAAAATATACTGCCCAAAGACTTGTTGGAATACTGTGAACATACAAGACTTATCTAACCATGAATGTATTTTCTTGATTTTAGTAGTAGCTTGGTCAGTGTACACCATGGTGTCACTGAATTTGCAGGCTCGTTAGATAAGCCTAGCCTGCACTTAGAAGTTCCAGTAAAGCCATAAAACTATAGCTACTGCAGCAGAACCCTGCTACTATAGACAGAGGGCTTTTGCTGGTATAGTTCATTCGGGTTCGGTGAGCAAAATAAGCTACCCCAGCAAAAGCGCTTTTGTGCTGGAATAACCACATCTAAGCTAGGGTTTTTGCTGGCACAGCTATGTTGTAAACAAACAAACCCAAGCAAAATAACTCTCACACCCCTATCAGGCAAAGCTATGCTAGCAAGATTTATGTATAGCCCTGGCCTAAGAACAGGCACTAAATCCTCACTTTAAAGAAATAGTTACATAACACTTGAAGCCGGACAAGCAGGCTCCTTCCACACAAGGAAATCCACCTTCACATTTTATACACATACTTTTAAGTAAGTTTGTAACACAACCAGTCACCCCCAACGAATTTTAGGCCTTTCTGTAATACTTATTTTAAAGAAGTAAATGATCATGGTTATCACTTTACTAACGTGTACTGTAAACAAATACAAGTCACCAAGTACAACAGCAGTTGATAAAGCTTTAGAACAGGGAATCTCTGTTGTGTTTACTAAGTTCCTTAAAGGGACTTTTAAAGCCCAAACACTTGACCTACTGTCACATGGCTGGTTTCAGAGTAACAGCCATGTTAGTCTGTATTCGCAAAAAGAACAGGAGGACTTGTGGCACCTTAGAGACTAACTAATTTATTTGAGCATAAGCTTTCGTGAGCTACAGCTCACTTCATCAGATGCTGTAACCCTAATGGGGAAAGACCCTGGGACCCAATTTTCATTCACACCATTCTGGTAGCATAAAAGAAGCCTTAAAGTGGGTGTAAATGTCATGTCTGCCAGAGCACCATAAAGGGGCTTTGGTGTAAATGAGAAGGGCCTGATTTTGCTCTCCCACTGGTGAGAATTAGAGGAGAATCAGGCCCTAAATATCGGATTTAAAAACAAAAACCCCAACTGCTTCCATGCCAAGAAATTAAATAATCATTATTTTTGTGCTTGCCCTGCAGGCTGTTACCTAAAACAATATTAGCAGAGTAACATCAACAGCAAGAGATAATGCTGGCACACAACCATGTTTTGGCAGGATGAAAGGCTATAAATAAAAGTTATAAAAGGAAAACAATGATGTTAATTCCAGTGAAGCAAAGCAGAGGCAGTGGGCAGAATCCCTGTGTTCTAAATGGGAAAAAAGAGCAAAATAGTTGCATTTTCCCAGCTTCTCAGAGGATTTTTATACAACCTGAAGGGGATAAGACTGTACCAGACTGCTTTACAATAGCTTTGTAAAATATTACAGCTATAAACAAGATGCCAGGCTTTGCTTTACTGAATTTCAGTGAGGGCTTTAACAAATTCCTCAGACGGAGGAGTCATGAGGCCTGATATACCATTGCCTTGAACCTTGGCCAGTCGTACACCAGTCCGGAGTGGGTGTAAAATGCTGCCATTCTGAGCTGGTGGCATTTCTACACCCACTTTGCACAGGTCTAAGTGACTGCACAAGGTGCAGGGCAATGGAAAAATCAAGCCCACAGTTTCTAATTTTGCATCATTGTTCTTTAAGAGTTCTACTTTGAACCCACATATGAGATTTGGAACATCTGATCTGCCAGATCACTGGCTGGTGCACGACCAGCCCCACAGCGTTAAGGTAGATCCCAGGGAGAGGCCCAGGTGGCACAAGGAAGTCAGTGCACTAGTTTCTAAGTATCAGAGTCCAAAGCATGATGGGTCACAATGTGGAGAAATGGGAAGCCACTGAAACAATATTCACATAGCAAAATCCACCACACAAAAGACAGCATCGCTGTTCATGAAAGGCCCAAGACAAGAACAGCCTGGGATGATCTAGATCAGGAGGTGCAGAGCTTGGGAAACAGAGGAATGTGCCACACAGACATCCACTATGGCGACTTCAGTGGGTTTTAGATGGGGCCAATCCCAAAGAGCTTTAATCAGGTCCTACAGACCCCTGGCACAAGCTTGCATCATCAATAACATTCATAAGCACAAAGTCACTCAAGGTACAAGTAAACTCATTCATTCTGGACATTTACATCAAAATTACGTTTGTTCCTACATTTGAATACTTTTCAAGTGGTCTTGTCCAACTTATTTCATGCCTGATATATCCCCAGGCCACCAATGGTAATGAATATAAACGTATTGGATACAAATGGCATAACAACAAGTTCAGGTCACTGGCCCGGTTTGGTCAATAGATAGAAATATAAGCACCTTAGGTACATACTGAATCCAAATCTCTCATTCAATTCAGTCTTTACTAACAATGTCTAGACTACTTTAAATGCTACTGTCTATATCTTATACACTTTTCTTTACACCATCTAGTGATGACGATGCTTAGCTTCCAAGACAAGAGCATTTGAGTAGGTAAGTACCCCTTTCTGCAGTCTTTTCATTAGGAAGTCTGACCCTCCTGGCTTCTGTCCTAAATTAGGATATTTGGCTTTTAGTTTTGCTTCTTCTGCTTTCTCAGGGATGACTGCTTCCTTCTCCTGTGTATCCTGAAAAACAAGAAATGGATTAAAGCTATTCAACCCTATGAAAGAGGACACCTTTATTTTACCTCAGAAATCTAGTTATATAATGTTTGTCCTATAACTACAAGCCTAATGTTTCGCTAATTGAGGTGTGGCCCCTTAAATGCTTAAACATACTTTGAGAACACTGTAAACTCAATTCTAAACCCATAGGGGGAGTGGCTTTCTCAGAAAGCCTGTGGGAAAGCGGACAGATAAATGGGCCAGGTGAGAGATACAGTCATTGATAAGGAGCCATCAGTAAGTTCAACCCAGGCAATGAGATTCAGCAGGGAGTCATCAGTTTCACATCAAGTCCCACCAGCTAAATGTGGCACCATCTCTAACTCTTCTAACCTTTCCACACAGCAGCAGCCAATTGGCTTAGCCAATATGGGTGATGGCTAGAAATTCAACCAAGCTTTTATACTCAAGCGCAAGCAACATGCCAGAAACAGCTCCCAGATGGGTCACAGAGATCAAGTTCTGCTGCTTCAACATGGAGTAGTTATTCACATGTATCCAATGCATCAACATTCCCCAGTGCCGTTTCCTAGCATTGCTTAAAGATAGTTGTTTTAAACAATTGAGCTCTCTGATCATTAAGAATCATTACAAGGACAAGAGGCAAATCAATGTTTTTAGTGCATATTTTTTCATAAAGGGGAATTCCATAATGCTGAAGAGTGCATGTAGACAGCCCAGGAAGCCAGAAGGTCTCTGTATCCATACAGCACAGATCATATCAGAGAGGTTTACCCTGAGCCACCCCACCCCTGTGTGTGCCTCAGCCCTATGCTGAAGAGAAAACCGTTCCAGAGCAAGATGTTATTTCACCATCCAAGACTCTTTATCCTATGGACTGCGTTACACAGGTCAGACTTGCAGTCCTTTCTGGCCTTAAGATCTATGAATCTTTGGCCCCTCTGCAGAGATCCCCACCAATCCCTCAGGTATGATGGTTTTTGCAACATGCACACCTGTCTACTAAGAATTGGACTGAGACTTTGCAACTTGTGTCGTACAAACCAAACAATGCCGACTCAAGTCAGTTTCTACCAAGGCCAAATTCAAACTGGCAACTCCAAACCCATTATCGATCATCTATGCCATCCAGTATTGCGGACGCAGCAAGCTCAGCCCCAGGGGCAGAACACCACATACTATATATATATATATATATATCATATCTCTGGTTGATCAAGAAGTGGCATTGGCTTGTTCTGTGGCAAGTTCCTTCTCATCCCCCTGGGCCCAAAGGCTTCTTGCCTAAGCACAGAGTAGATTAGGCAAGGTAAAAACAGGGTTGAGATTTTCCATGTCCTTGCTGGAGTCAAGGGGAAAAAAACAAAACACCTTTATCTTCAGCTTGGCATGCAGGTGTCAATATGGTCACGAAGAGAGTTGCTAGAGCAAGATCATGGAGATAGAAGAAACAGGATTCTGCTCAATGTCACTAGAGGGACCATGAGTTTGAGCCAGACTAGCTACTCCTATGTTCCGATTACATTTAGTTCCTCTTGCTAAAAGGGCAGGACAGAATCCATCCAATTAGACAATCTACATTTGATTTTAGTAAAGAGAACAGGCAAATTTCTGCCTTAACGGTTAGGATTGGGCACGTTATTGTTGAGTTCAAGACACCTTTGCTCAGAAATATATAGATGGAACGCTACTGAAACAGACATGTGAAACTTTCAAATTGGAAAAATTAACAAAAAAGAAATAAATCAGTATCCTAACCTAGAAAATTAGTGGAGGCCTGTAAATATCTGATAATGTAGACTGGTTTTTAAGTGACAACGTCAGGACTATTGTAAAGAAGTTGCTGTACAAGAGCAGAAATTCTTGATGGCTTCAAAATTGATGCCATCTGCAACTATTTGTCTCAGCACAGTGGTAGAGGAGGTTTGAGGGCTGCCTGGGATGCATTACTCACTCCCGCCCCTCCAATCACGTGCGGAAAGAGGAATAGAAGGATTGTCACACTTCTGTCGTCCAAGACAGTGCTTAACCCAGCCCTATTCTTTAAGCGGAGTTTGCTTAAGTAAAGAGGACTGTGTAGACATGAGTCAAGCAGAGCGTGGATGTCAGCAGAACCACAGAGTGACTACGTTTCTCAGTTCTTTCAGAATTTTTAAATACATCTTTGAGAGCAGACTCAATGGTATAAAAGCCCTGAGAATATGAATTACCAAATACAGTAAATTCCATTTCCTAGATCTATACTGCTTATTACACCAGAGGGTCAACAGTAGCTGGCCAGAAATAGAATGGCACAGTCCATCCTAAGAAATCTTGCTGTTCTGTTATTCTTGAGAAGTCAGCTGTTGGAAGGCATTTCAGTAGTCTCTAAGTTTTTCAAAGATTTAGAACAGAGGCCACTGGCCTGTTTAAGATCTGGATTTAGATGATTTTTCTCTACAGAGAGCAGCCTAATGGGCTGTGTCAGCTCTCTCTCCCTGCTGCATTCACTTTCTGGAAACCTTCATTCCTGCTAGTCACTATTGCCACCAATTCCAGAAAAGTAAGATCTTGCACAGCGAGAACTCAGTTCAATTTAGAAGGCCTGTGCAGCATATCTAAGATCCTCAGATTTTATTTGTTGCTGGCCTGCACCAACCTGTGATATTTGGTCCATTACCAGGCAACACACTGGAAGGAGAGGCAACATATTTCGAGAAGCCACTGCAAATTAATAGATTAGCCAACAGAAAGTGAAGGCAGGCGTGCTCACATCTCAAAATCCACATCATCATAACTGTTCATTGTTCACTGTCTCAGACTGATCGAGCCATAGACAGACACTGAAAGCTCTCAGTCTTGGGTCTGGTCCTTCCAGGTAAGGAGAGAAGTACAGGAGGAAGTTGGTACTGCTGGTGGTACCAATACTGAATGTGTATTTTGGCAGTTAGAGTCCATGCTGGGTCGAGAGGAAGGTAGACTGATAGCATCCTGGCTGATAGTTGAATAGCGGGTTGGAGATAGGGGGTAGAAACCATGTTTCCTACCTGCGTAGGTATCTTATTCGCCAATCTATCAAGCATATGAGAAACTGGGATGGAGAGGCTTGGAAGCTAGGAGGCAAGATATGTGCCTGGCCCAGCACAGACAGGCACACTGGAGGATGCTCTGTGGATGACAGGTGGTGGCTAGTGACTATATGTAGCCCAACTAGAAACATACAAGTTGGTATCTGGTCTATTAAAGGCAGTTGACAGCTGCTGAGAAGTTGGCTGTGGAACCTAAGCCACAAGTGTTCTCAGATGTTTTCTGCTATAGTATTCATTCCAATGGTGTTAGGGTTAATGGAGATTTATCACTCTGGCTGTCTTAATGAAGTTCTCTTTTCTAGGAAGTGGATACAGGTAGACAGATGCCACTCAGCCATCTACAACTCAAAGAGACACTGTCCCATGAAATAAAGAGATTCTTTACTGTCAGAGAATTAGAGAGAGAAGCACAAGTTCCAAAGCGGTGTTTGGTCTCTCAGCAGGAATTCTGGCAGTGTTACCCATAGCCCAATAGTTCTTACCAGATACTCTCAATCCCACCTCCTCCGCTCAATTATTTATTTTTAAGTCATGTCTCCATACATGGCCACAAAGGCTATTTCCCTCCCATTATCCTGGGTACGCGATCTTAAACTGCTGATCAGGCCCTTTACAGTCAATGGCTTTGTGCTTTACTCTACTTATTGGAATAAGATCAGTGGCCAACACCATAGCTGGGAAATTAATACCAATTAGCATTTTTCGGACAGCATGGCTATATGTGCAGCACTGCAATGCACCTGAACAAAGAGACAATGGCACCTTTTCAAAAGTGTGATGCCACTTGCCTATCAAGATAGATTAAGCCACCAGGATCCACATAGGACACACTTATGTCCTGCCACTATATACAGACTGCCACAGAGCTGATGTTAATGTTTAGTCACTGTTCAAAATTAACGGTGATACACAGCTGCCACTTTTCCCAGAGGGCCTGTATCACTGAACACATGTGCCCAGATGGCCAGCAGGTTTTAGCTGCATGACTGTTAGCCTGTATTCTAATACTGTAAGAGCCGGAAAGCCTATTGTTCTGACAGATCCCTGTTGTACTGGTGCCACCATTAGTTTGGGCAATAACCAGTTTGGCTGAGAGCTGGCCATGTGTTTGTATGAGAACACCTAGCCTGTGCTAATCCTGCTCCAGTTCTGAAGCTTGAGATGGCAGCGCTGTGTATAGAAACTCCGAGACAAAACAGGCTTCAAGGTGTTCTTGCAAACTCTATTACCCAGAATGCTCTTCCACTTCACAACTATTAGAGATGGGGTGAGAGCTCCGAGAAAGCATTTAGATGCGAGTGTTACAGGTGGTTAAAATGTTTCTTTTGTGTAGGATTTGTGTGCCAGAGTAGTAGAAAGATTTTAACCTCCAGGCTGCACACCATATAGCTGTTTGTAGCAGCACAAGTAAAAGGGTCAAAGATTTTCTGCATCATGGGAACTCAATCTTGTGGCAGTGATCTAGCAGTGGCCGTTAGTAAGTGGTTGGACGGTATCATTGCTGGGGTGAAAATGTCTAGCCAGCTGTCACAGTCCATTTACTTAGTATAAAACTTATTCTGGACCCTTGCCGGCACAAATGCAGTTCTCTTTTGCATAGCTTCCCAACTAGTCCTATATAGGGCCCGATCCACAGTCCATTGAAATCAATGGGAGTCTCCTACTGACTTCAATGGGATTTGGATTATGCTCATACACAAGCTTCAGAAACATTTAGATTTTTTAAAATTAAGTCTGATGGTGGAGTGGCATTTGATATTCAGGGTCCCCTGCAAAAGTCATTAAGAGAAACGATGCCTTCTGAGGTTGGGAAGTTACATCCTCTGTTGTACCCATTTTAGCATTTTAAAATGAGAGACTCTTTAGGAGCAAGTATTTCCCTATATTAAAAACCAAGAGTTAATATTTAAAATTAAGGTTTCAGATTGGAAACACTTTCTCCCCCATCCCAACATATATGATTTCTAGGACAGACGATGCCAAGGCATTTTGGAAGAGACCATTTAAGTCACATTTCTCCTTTCCCTAAAGCTACCGTCTCCTCTTTGGTTACCAGCCACTTAAAGAGAATCAAGAGAAAAGAACAATTGGAAAGACAACGCGTCTTTGATAGGACAGTCTTTAAATAAAGTGGATAAGTCTGAGTAGCTGTTCCCCTCACGACACCGTGGGCAACACTCTAAGGAAGTCGATGACTCAGGGGAGCTGCACACCATGCTGCTAAGCTGCCCTAGACAAAAGGCAAAACAAGAATTTTTGTGCAGAAGGGTTATGTGGGATAATTTTAAATCATTACTCACTACAGTTCACTCCTGCAGCGTTAATATAAAACCTCCACTACAGTTTAAAACCACCCCCACCCCCGAAGTAATAATTTTGCCTCTTCTCATCTACTGCAGCTGCATTTTCGGGCCGCCCCCCCTGAATTCTGCTTTAGCCTAAGGAACTTTATTACCCTCAAATAAATCAACAGCTTGTGCATATAACTACAGAATTGGCTACAACAAAGTGGTTGCTTTACTGCAAGCCTGAACTGGTATTTTGAGAGAAACATCTCTCCCCCTTAATACCAAAGGGAAATTCCCTTACTTCCTTTGAAGCAGCCGTTATTATATAATCCTAATTTACCTCCACCTCATGCAAACCTGATCTCGCCTTGCCTGAAAAATTATTTACGGAGAAGTCATGAAACTGTGGTGAACTGACATGATTTATACTGAAACCACCAAACCATCTGCTTTTAAAGCAACTCCTGCACTCTTAATTCTTCTTGTGGCTGTCAGTGGGCTGGGCAGTCAGCTTTGTCCCACCATCAGGGTCTTAACAGGGGGGAGAGGGATACTTATTTTATAAGCCATTTCACATATATGTTCGCAGAGTTGTAGCTGTGTTGGTCCCAGGAGACACACATGGGTACGTGTGGTAGTATTTTTCACTGGACCAGCTTCTGTTGGTAGAAGATACAAGCTTTCGATCTACAAGCTTTTCGATTCTTCAGATGACCTGATGGGGCAGGTGAGCTGAAGAAGAGCTCTGTGTAGCTCAAAAGCTTGTACCTTCCACCAACAGACACTGGCTGGTGCAATAAAAGATATTACCTCATCCATCTTGTTTCGCTCCACAACATGTAATCATGGTTTCATGGAGACCTGTAACCTTAGCCCTGGTCTACACTTAAAACTTCCACCCCTGAGCACCCTAGTTAAACCAACCTGACCCAGGTGAAGACACAGCAAAGTCAATGGAAGAATTCAAGCCCCCCAAGCTCCAACCAACAGTGGAGCCCCCCATGCTGAAGTCCAAAGCCCAACCCAGCACTCCCAGATCCTCCCTCCACCATAATCCCCTGCCCCTAGTGGACCCACCCCCGAGCCTGGATTCAGACCAGGAGCTCCCCCAAAATCACAATCTCCCCCCATTCCTCTGACCCTCTCCCACCCCATGGCTGCCCCCTTGCTCCAGAAGCTTCCACACACCCCCAGTATCCCACCACCCTGCTCTGACCCAACCCTGTCCCGCCTCAGAGCTGCCCCACGCCCCAGAGGCCTCCACACCCCCCGCATCCCACAATCCACCACCCCTCACCCGCCCAGACTCACTCTGCACTTAAGCCCTATCTACCCCACGACTCACACCCCCCGGAAGTACCACCCCAGCAGGCCTGTAGCCAATGACCAAACACCATTACCGGGAGCGACGAATACGGCAGCCAATCACAGTGCGGCGGGCGCGTACGGGCAGTCCAAGTAGCCAATCGGAGCCCAGAACGATCCCGCCGCGACTCAGCCCTCACCTGTTTCTCGTCGCCCGTCTGTTCGCACCGGCTGTCGGTACCGAGCTTCTCCGACATGGTGGGGCAGGGAAGGGAAGAGGGACGTGACTGAGAGAAGGGCCGGTGTTCTGCTTCCCACACTCTCCCCGGCTCCTGTCACTTTCACTCTGTAACCAAAATGGCCGCCGCCGCCCCCCTAACGTTTCTGCCTGGTAACTGACAAGCAGAGCAGCCAATAAGAAAGCTTCGGAGGCCGGGGTGACATCATAACCAACCAATCACAGCCCTCAGACGACGGGACGAGGGGGGTGGGATACTGAGATGAGACAGATGGGGCAAAGGGCCAATGGAGAGTGAGGCAAGAGCAAACCGGGCAGGGCAAAACTTGGGAATGACGAAAACTGAGCGGGACCAATAAGAGACGAAGAGGAGGCCGTGGGGCGGGGAACCAAAATAGGGGGCGGGGTGAGGCGGGTCCTGGCTGTTGCGGGGGAAATTTCATTGGCTGCCCTGAGCTCCGTGGCGCCCGGTCCTGCCCCTGGCTCGAGCAGTGGCCTGGGTGTGAGGGCGGGGACTGGCGTGAGCCCCGCCCCCTAGGCATGGGGCCCCGCCTCCAACCCCCGTTCGGGACCCGCCGTCATCCACTGGGACCCACCCCCCGGACCCGGACCCGGACCCTCTGGGACTCACCACTGCCCCCCCGGGAGCCGCCCCCCATCACCCGGGACACGCCCCCCACATCACCCCGGAATCCAGCACCGCCCCCCAGGAACCTCTGGGACCTGCGCCCCTACATCACCCTGGAACTCACCACTGCTCCCCCCGGGACCCGCCTCCCCCTCCCCCTGGGACACGCCCCCCACATCACCCCGGGATCCACCACCGCCCCCCAGGAACCTCTGGGACCTGCACCCGCACATCAGCCTGGAACCCACCACTGCCCCCCCCGGAACCCACCCCCCATCACCCCAGGAAACGCCCCCCACATCACCCCGGGATCCACCACCGCCCCCCAGGAACCTCTGGGACCTGCGCCCCTACATCACCCTGGAACTCACCACTGCCCCCCTGGGACTTGCCCCCCAGGACCCACCCCCCACATCACCCTGGAACTCACCACTGCTCCCCCCGGGACCCGCCTCCCCCTCCCCCTGGGACAGGCCCCCCACATCACCCCGGGATCCACCACCGCCCCCCAGGAACCTCTGGGACCTGCACCCCTACATCAGCCTGGAACCCACCACTGCCCCCCCGGAACCCACCCCCCATCACCCCAGGACACGCCCCCCACATCACCCCGGGATCCAGCACCGCCCCCCAGGAACCTCTGGGACCTGCACCCGCACATCAGCCTGGAACCCACCACTGCCCCCCCCGGAACCCACCCCCCATCACCCCAGGACACGCCCCCACATCACCCCCGGGATCCAGCACCGCCCCCCAGGAACCTCTGGGACCTGCACCCGCACATCAGCCTAGAACCCACCACTGCCCCCCCGGAACCCACCCCCATCACCCCAGGGCACACCCCCCACATCATCCCGGGATCCACCACCGCCCTCCAGGAACCTCTGGGACCTGCACCCCTACATCACCCTGGAACTCACCACTGCTCCCCTGGGACTTGCCCCCCAGGACCCACCCCCCACATCACCCTGGGATCCACCACCACCACCCCGGGATACGCCCTCACATCACCCCAGGACCCAGCCCCTCCATATCACCCTAGGACCTACTGGCATCCCCCCCCCCCAGACCACCCCACAGGAACCTCTGGGACCTGCCCCTCCACATCAGCCTGGAACCCACCACTGCTCCCCTGGGACCTGTCCCCCAAGACCCTCTGGGACCTCACGGTACCCATATCCCCACCACTGCCCCCGAGGACCCACCCCACATATCACCCTGGGACCTGCCTCCGCCCTCCTGGGACCCACCCCCTCAGAACCCCCTGGCTCCCCCATCACCCCAGGGCCTGCTCCCCGACCTCAGGACACACACCCCCACACCATATTACCCTGGGTGCCATACAGTTTGTGTCTTCTGTGGTGATTCAACGCTGAGTCCTCCTGTTCCTGGGAATTTGGGATGGGTCCCAACTTGGATGAAAATGATGTTTGCACAATTAGTGTGTAACCATGTGAATGGCTGTCGTTAACATGTTCTGATCCCAGTTTGGAGTGAGCAGCCTAGCTTGCATATGGTTCTTTAATCCAGCCGCTCTTTATGCCCTTGGGGACAGCTAGAGCCTGAATTTAGGCCCAAAATGTAGATTTTTGTTCAGGTTAAGGGGAAATTTGCACAATATAATATAGCTAGAAATGGGCTCCTCCAGCTGCATTTAAGATCTGAATTTCAAACACACAATACTGAATACTGCTTGCAGATGTGGTCGCCCCATCTCAAAAAAGAAATATTGGAATTGGAAAAGGTTCAGAAAAGGGCAACCAAAATGATGAGGGGTATGGAACGGCTTCCGTGTGAGGAGAGATTAATAAGACTGGGACTTTTCAGCTTGGAAAAGAGATGGCTGAGGGGGGAGATGACTGAGGTCTATAAAATCATGATGGGTGTGGAGAAAGTAAATAAGGAAGTGACTGGGCCTGGGAGTGGCTGGCTCATTACAAAAGCAGCTTTGCCTCTCCTGGAATTGACACCTCGTCATCTATTATTGGGAGTAGACCGCATCCACCCTGATCGAATTGGCCCTGCCAACACTGGTTCTCCACTTATTCCTTCACCCTCTCACTTCCCTGGTCCTTCTCGCATGAACAGAGAGCAACAATACCCGAAGTCCAAAGGTGCAAACAATTCAATGTTTATTGGGGTGACCTTCCAGCAAGCTTAAATCCAAGTTCCTTTTTCCTTATTTTTGAATCCCAACTTACTTCCTGTTTTCCCCTAATTTATATAGTAATAGTCTCAGCTATACCTTAACCAATCATTTTACTGAAATTTACCTAACCAGTCCTAACATACTGTAACATATTAGCTAACCAATTATATCCCACCACCTTAATTAGTTTACACCCAGCAAAATTAATTATACAGCAGGCAGAAACAATCACAGAACCAGACAGAGACCATGCAAATAAACAATAGTAAAGGGGGAACTATAATAACAAAACAATACAAAAGTAAGAATTTTACAACTACATCTATAAAGACATAAGGGTTTCCCAGCTGTGTCTATTAATAAGTGAGTTCTTATCAGACAGAAAACTATCAAACTAAATTTCCTTTTACATCTTCTAGGCTCTTCCCTTTCTCTGGAGGTAATAGATCGAATCACCTTTCCAACAGCCCCAGATTGCCTTATTTCAATATAACTAGTTTGAAATGTAAGAATGTGACCGCTTCCCAGCTTATGGCTGCCTCTGCTGCTTAGCCACAGCCTAAGCCTTAGCCTAAGACCAGGGCCTCAGACTGTCACAGTGAGAGAAGGCCCTTACACAGATTCTTTCTTTTATAACTGTATAACTAGCTAAATAATAAACATATACCTAAATTCTTAAGGTATAGGTTTTTACAAACAGGCTTAAATAGCTATATCCTAACACAAGGTAACACCCTTCCCTTCATGTGTCATTATATAAAGCCTGCATCTGTAATTTTCACTCCATGCATCTGAAGAAGTGGTGTTTTAGTCCACGAAAACTTATGCTCAAATAAATCTGTTAGTCTTTAAGGTGCCACCAGACTCCTTGTTTTTGTGGATACAGACTAACCCAGCTACCCCCTGATACTTGACACCATGCAAGGCACTAAATTTAGCCGTATGGAGTGGAAATCCATCAACCTCAACAAAAAACTTGCACAGATACAGACAGACATCATCTTCCTCTCCAAGTGCAAACAGATGGACATCATACCAAATGGACTGAAGGTAAAAAATCCATTGCAATCGACATACTACACTGACTATGGTGAGAGACTGTGCCACACACTCCCAAAGAAACTGAGGAACCTCTTGATCAGCATCCTGTACAGCAGACAGGAGAAGTTCAAGAATGAGCTCTCAAAACTGGAGACTCTCATACAAAACCAACCTTCCACATGAATTTCTACGTGGCTGAACTTTACAAAAACGAGACAAGCCATTTACAACACACACTTCACTTCTCTACAGAGGAAAAAGGACAGTAAACTATCTAAACTCCTACATGCCACAGGGGGCTACAACAGTGGTACCCTCAACTCACCTAACAATATTGTTAATCTATCCAACCGCACACTTAGCCCAGCGGAAGAGTCTGTCCTATCTCGGGGACTCTCTTTCTGCCCTACCACCCCCACAAACACGATACAGTTCTGCAGTGATCTGGAAGCCTACTTTTGTTGTCTCCGACTCAAGGAATATTTTCAACACACCACTGAACAGTACACTGATCCACAGGAACCCTCCTACCAACACTGCAAAAAGAAGAATTCTGTGTGGACTCCTCCTGATGGTTGAAATGACAGACTGGATTTCGACAGAGAGTGCTTCCGCAGATGTGCACAGGCTGAAATTGTGAACAAACAGCATCACTTGCCCCATAACCTGAGCCGTACAGAACGCAAAGCCATCCACAGCCTCAGAAACAACTCTGACATTATAATCAAAGGGGCTGACAAAGGAGGTGCTGTTGTCATAATGAACAGGTCGGATTGTGAACAGGAGGCTGCCAGGCAACTCTCCATCGCCACATTCTAGAGGCCACTATCCTCTGATCCCACTGAGGAGTACCAAAAGGAACTACACCATCTGCTCAAGAAACTCCCTGCTAGAGCACGGGAAGAAATCTACATGGACACACCCCCAGAGCCCCGACCAGGGGTGGTCTATCTGCTACCCAAGATCCATAAACCTGAAAACGCTGGATGCCCCATCATCTCAGGCATCGGCACTCTTATAGCAGGATTATCTAGCTATTTGGAATCTCTTTCCTCAGACCCTACGCTACCAGCACTCCTAGCTATCTTCGAGACACCACCGACTTCTTGAGGAAACTACAATGCATTGGTGATCTTCCTGAAAACACCATCCTGGCCACCATGGATGTAGAAGCTCTTTACACCAATATTCCACATGAGGATGGACTACAAACTGTCAAGAACAGTATCCCTGATGAGGCCACGGCACACCTGGTGGCTGAGCTTTGTGACTTTGTCCTCACCCACAACCATTTTGGATTTGGGGACGACTTATAC